CAGCCATGGAAAAGAATGTCATTTTGATACTTGCTACAACAGGATAGACCTTGAAAACATGGACTTAGTGAAATAGGGCATGGTACACATCTATAATCCCAGCAAGTATACACACTGAGGCAGGATTATAAAAAATTGAGGCTAGCCTGGGCAATTTAGTAAGATCCTGTCTCAAATCCAAAAAGCAGGGTGTGTGCCCTGGGTTTGATTCTCAGGTTCCCCTAAGTAAGTAAGTAAGTAAATAAACTAGATAAGTAGAATCATACATTATCTTCCTATTTAAGGTGTCTAGAATAAGCAAATCTCTACAGACAAAAAGTAGACTAGAGGTTGGGGGCAGGCTGGAGGGAAAGGGGAGTTACTGCTTAATAGGTTCAGTTTTGTATGATGATGAAAAGATTTTAGGATGTGTGTATATAGAAGGTATGAGAATGCAGCATTGTGAATGTGCGTAATGCCCCCAAATTATGTACTTAAAAGTGGTTAGAATGATGTGTTACATTCATGTGCCTCTTACCACACTTCCTTTCTTTGCTGCCTTCCCCCTTTCTTGTACCAAGGATCAAACCCAGGGATGCTTTATTTCTGAGCTAAATTGCTGAAGTTCTCAAAGCTAAATCTCTGGGGCTGGCCTCAAATGTACAAACCTCCTGCCTTAGCCTCCCCCTCTAAATCGCTGGGATTAGAGTTGTGCATCACTGCACCTGACCCACTTTTTTTTTTCTTTTCTTTTTTTTTTTTTTAGTTTTCAGTGGACACACATCTTTGTTTGTATGTGGTGCTGAGGATCGAACTCGGGCCCCACGCATGCTACCGCTTGAGCCACATCCCCAGCCCCTGGCCCACTTTTAAGAAAATAGGGAACTATAGGAAATGGAGGGGAGGCGACTGGCTGGCAGGAGTTGGCCCATTTACTGTACTTGTCAGCCTCTGTGCTTTAGGCATATTTCATTAAATTTTTGTGTTCTAATTTTTATCTTGCTGTATTGCAGTTCAGGGGATTGAACCCTGATTTTTCTTATGCCAGGCAACTAAACTGCTCTGCAACTGAGCCAGCATTTGTGTCTGGTGTATGTGTGTACGTGCGTGCGAACATGCTGGGAATTAAACCCGGGGTACTTTACCACTGAGCTACACCCTCAGCCCTTTTTACTTTTCGAAACAGGGACTCACTGTTAGTGATCCTCCTGCCTCAGTCTTCCGAGTTGCTGGGATTACAGGTGTGCACCAGGCTTTTGCCCTAAATATTATTTATCTTGGTGATTGTTCTCTAGGGTTTTGATACTTTTTTTTAATATTATTTGTTTGTTTATTTATTTAATGTGATGCTGAGGATCAAACTCCATGCCTCACACATGCTAGACTAGTCCTCTACAGTGAGCTACAACCCCAGCTTCTGCGGTTATGGTACGAACTGAGCCTCTCAAGAAGTGTTTCTTTGTTTGACTTCGCTTGCCAGAGCGTAAACTACATAAGGGCAGAGACTTTGTCTTGTTTCTGACCTCTGTTCCCAGGGCCTAGAATAATACTATTTTGATAATACTGTGCACCAAGGAAGCAGCTTTCAGTTAATGTGTTGAACTGATGATAGTATTAATCAAGCACTTTGTTTCTATTTTAGCACACTTGAGTCATGCTCTCTGCAGTGCCCCCTCCCCCAAATTTCATAATTTGAAATCTTAATCCTTTATGTGATGGGTTAGGAAATGAGGCCTTGGGGAGGTGATTTGGCCTGGGAGCAGAGCCCTAGGAAATGGATTTAGTGCCCTTATTAAAAAACAACAACAACAAAAACTCCAGAGAGCTTGCAGACCTTCTCTCTGCTTGGTGAGGATGCAGTGTGAAGAGTGAAGCCATGTTGGCACCCTGGTCTTAATCCAGCCTCCATGCTGTGGGAAGCAAATGTCATAGAAGCCACCCAGTCTGTTGTGGGTTTTTTGTTTTGTTCTCTTTTCTTTTTGGTATTGAAGATTGAAACCAAGGGTGCTTTACCACTGAGCCATATCCCCTGCCCTTTTTATGCTTCTGATGCTGGCTTTGAACTCATGATCCTCCTGCGTGGTTGAGATTACAGACGTGTGCCACTATGTCCAGTTGTTGTTTTTGTTGGTGGTGGAGGTGCTTGTGTGTGTGGGGGGGTGGCAGCTAGAATGGGCTCAAACATCTCGTTCATGCTAGCTGCTGAGACTCAAATCTTTTTTTTTTTTGGTAGTTGTGGTACTAGGTAGGGATTGAACCCAGGTGTGCTCTACCACTGAGCTACATCCCTATCCCTTTTTAAAATTTTGACACAGGTTCAAACTTGCTGTAACTGGCCTCCAACATGCAATTCTTCTGCCTCAGTCTCTTTAGCCGCTGGGGTTACAGGTGTGTGCCATCACACGTCGGGTCTTATAGCAGAAATGTAAAATATGAATAAAGTAGATTCCCTGCCCATGACTGTGTTTCTGTATCACTTGAAAGTTGGGATGTGCCTAAGTTAGAGATATTAGGGTGAAAGGGTATATAAGTAAGGCCAGGCAGGCTTGAGAACGAGGATGAAATGGTTGAATCTRGTTACAGAGTTTGTGCTTTGTAACTGATGATCACTAACCACATTTCCTGTTCCCTGACACCTACCACCATCACTGCCAGGGATTGAGCCCAGGGCCTTGTGCAYGCTAGGCAAGCTAGCTTTCCCACTGAGCTACATGCTGAGCCCTGTTTATTTTGACACAGCTAATTTGCCCAGGTTGGCCTCAAATTCTTAACCTTCCTTCTTCAGCCTCCTCTCAGTATCTGGGATTACAGGTGTGTATCCACACCCCACTTCCTGCCCCCACCCCCCCACCCCCACCCCCGTCATACTGGCCAGGTACTGGGGATTGAACCCAAAGCGTTTCACCACTGAGCTACATGCACTTTGTAGCGGTTGAATGACCCTCCTCCCCAGTTCCATGATTTGAAATCCTAACCCTTTATGTGGTGGGTTAGGGGGTGGGGGCTTGGGGAGGTTATTTGGCTCTAGGGAATGGGATTAGTGCCCTTATAAAGACTCTGGAGGGGCTGGGGTTGTTGTGGCTTAGTGGTAGAGCACTTGCCTGGTATGTGTGAGACACAGGGTTTGATTCTCAGCATCTCATATAAATAAAGATCCATTGACAACTAAAAAAATAAAAACTCCAGAGAGCTGACAAGCCCTTCCTGTCCTTTCAATACATTCGGCTATTCTTTCCTTAGGCCCCTTCATCCATCCACTGATCTGTACATCGAGGATAACCTTGAAGGATGTTATTCCTAGTGTTCTTTCTAGTTCCTAACAGGAAGTAGCATGATCTTCAATTTAGACCTGGTGAGTTCACACCTGCTATGAGGCAATTGATCCWGAACGCGTTGCTCACCCTCCTCGTTCCTCAGTTCTCTGTAAAATGAAGTTTGCCGATCTTTTATTCACCCACTTCATAGGGGGATGTGTAAGTGATTAAAATAGTCCTACATAAACATTCAAGAAAATGTAACCTGCTATTCTGTAATTTAAAGTTTAAATTTTTTTGTATTCTGTACTTTTTGTTGCTGGGTATTGAAGTTGATAGTGACCACTTGAATCAAACGAACCTCATTCTGTATTTGTGTTTTCTTTTATTCATTGCCTGTGCACTAACGTTAGTGAGCTGATATGGTTTTGGTAGTGACGTCAATCTTAAGGGTTGTGTTTGTTTTCTTGTTTGAGGGGTATTGTTTTTTTAACACTGGTGGTATAGTAATGTGAGGTAAGAGTTCACACTTTTGGAAGATCTTATATTCCTGATCTTTGTGAACACGTTTTAATAGAAAAGCTGAAAATTTCAGCATTGATTATGGAGCCCCTACTTTCTGCTTTAAGCATGAAAGGTCCAATCTCACATGCTTTACCCATGCAATTTCTGCTTTAAGCATGAAAGTAGAAGAGGGGAGAAGAAGGTAATAGAAAACTGTGTTTGGACTTTGGGCTCTTCTGCTCTAATTTAAGAGGCAGGGCCAATCCAAAAAAAAAAAAATCAAAGCAGAATGGTATATGATCTGTCAGTATTATGAGGAAGTGATCTCGGATTTGGAAAAAAGAAGTGGGAATGTGAGGCTGGAGTGATAGAAATCAGTAAGCCTTAGAGATTTGGGTGAGGCTCTGAAAGGAGACTGGATTTTGAGAAGGGAAATGAGAGGTGTGGGGGCCTTGATTTATTGAATTCTCCCCCAGGTACTTGCAAATTAACCCGTGAGAAAAATGGGTGGAAAATAGAGAGCATGTGCAAGGGAGAAGTAGAAAACATGTTAAAATGGAACCAGCCAGTGCAGCACCCAGATAGCAAACAGAAGGGTTTGCCTCAAAGGCAAAAGTAAGATCAATTATGGGGTCAGCATTGTTTTTTTAGCCTCGTGGATTTGAAATGATACAAGTAGAGCTGTCCTTCATTCTGTGAACACAATTTATTGAGGGCCAGCCTTTAAGTAAGGTTCTGGGGCCCTTAGGGTCAAAATGGACTAATTTTCCTGTCCTCCTCCAACTCACAGCTTAGTGGGAGAGACTGAGGAAAATCACATGGTTGTAATTACACTTAAACTCTAGAAATTGCATGGGTAAAGCCTGTGAGGTTGGATCCTTGGAGGAAGGATGAGGAGGCCGGAAGGGTAGATCAGAGGCTTGCTAACAGGTGAGAGGTTGGAAGTGAGATTTTATTTGCATGACCACGTTGGTAGTCAGCAGTGGATAAAAACAGATGTTTGAGAAGTGGGGTCACCCAGGCCAGTGCAGCAACAAAGATGCTGAAAGCAAGTCCTTCAGAGAGGCTAAACAGAGCTGGTGATCTTCAAGGAGAAACAGGAGTTCAAAAAATTGAGGACAAGGAATGAGCTGTAAAGAAATTGAGGTGATAGCTGTAATCTAAGAAGGTGAAGGTGCTAGTGAAAGCAATTTTTATACCTTTTAAATACTTTTAAAAATGTCTTTACTCAGCTAAGATAATCAATTTCATGATGTGTTGCAGATGAAAAAAAAGATATTGACCATGAGACAGTGGTTGAAGAACAGATCATTGGAGAGAACTCGCCTCCTGATTATTCAGAGTATATGACAGGAAAGAAACTCCCTCCTGGAGGAATCCCTGGCATTGACCTCTCAGATCCAAAACAGCTGGCAGAATTTGCTAGGTAAGTTAGAGAACTTTACTTTCCTTTTCATTATAGAAAGTGCTTTCTTGACATCTGTGGTTTTCTATGCCCAAGTCACAGTGGTGATTTATATTCTTTCTCTAGGGAAACTTCTGAAAATAAAAACAGTCAGTTTTATTTTTAATAGTAATTGAGTAGTAGAAAGTAGTAATAGTAAGATGAGGCAAATGCTCTTTAATTCCGTAACTGGCCTTGCTTGGATGTAGATATAATTGCACGTAGTTTGTTTTGAGGGGCCTGTTCAGACTTAGCCTCCTGACCTCTTTGTATGCATTTTAAGTTTGAGTGTGTTGCAGAAGAATCATTGCAGAAGACCCGGGTCTTTACTAGATCTGTTCAGTGGACCCTGGGAATGGCTTTCATCAGTTCCTGTTGCAGCACGTGGCATCAGTTAAGCTTTCCCTGTTTTGCTAATTGGAGCTGGCATGGCTGAAAGAGATGTCAGATATTTGTGGCCAGAACCCTGTGACTATTCAAGGTGAACAGTCAGGATCTGAAACCACTAGATGTGGCCTTGTTTTACTGTTTGGTAGGTTTTATAAGGATATGGAAAAACCCACAAAAAAATGTAAAATTTTAAGTAAAGCCAGGTACAGTGTGCACACCTGTAAACCCAGTCATTCAGGCAGGAGGATACCAAGTACCAGGCCAGCCTTGGCAAATAAAAAATAAAAAGGGCTGGGGGTGTAGCTCAGTGGTAGAGTGCCCCTGGGTTCAGTTCCAGTAATGGGGGCGGGGGATTAAATAGAATGAAATTAATAAACTGGCACAGAAGGCCTGATCCCTTTCCCTGAGCTTGAATGGAGACTGGAACAACCCCAGAAATATACACAAGGGTTGGGATCAGGAAGGAAGACACATCTCTGGTCCTGTACCCTCTGTGACCAGAGAACTTGTCTCTTGAGAGCAGAGCAGCAAGGGGAGACCAGGGCAACCCAGTTTCCCCTCCTCACCTCCCTTACTCTTCTGACCCTTCTGAGAACTGGTTGGGCAACTCAACTCAGACCACCTGAACCTGTTTTCCTGCTTGTCAAATCTTTTTGTTTTCATAAAGGGGTTCTTGTCCCTTTCTCTCCAGTTAAACTGTAGCTATAGGAAATATACGCATTTAGTTTATTTCTCATTTATCATGGCTTACCCCAGTTAAGGCTCTATGCTTTTGTTAATGACATTGAATCCCAACTTTTATTGCCATTCATATTTCAGATAGTTATGAATCAGATATTAACTGCTCTTCCCTCAGAAAAATTACAGATAAAAATTGAATCTGAAAAGTCAGCTTTTATGTGCTCAGAATCTGTGAGGATACTTGAACAGAGGAATCAGTGAAGTGTTGTGGATGGGGCAGCATTTGATTTGAGCTTTGAACAGTTTTAATGGTGGAGCCTGTATGCTAGAACAATGTGACACAGTAGAAAGGTACACAGAAAAGGGTGTAGTCTTGCCTGGGAATTAGGACACTTGAGGGAAATGACTGGAAAAACCCACCAAAATGTAAAATTGAAATCAGGTCATTAAGGTCCATGAATACTGGGCCAAGATCTGTGGATTTTTTTTAGTGTACATTGGGCAGCTGCTAAAGGTTTTGAAAGTAGTGATCTGGGTGATGGAGCTAATGAGAACATCACTTTGTAGCTGTGTCTAGGCTGAATTGGTGCTGGTGTCCCCAGGACATGGGGGATGGTGCTTGAGCAGGAGCAAATGAAGGCCTGAGCTAGAATGTGGTCAACAGTGAAAGAAATCACAGAATTAGGGCCAGATCATCTGTATATGGGATAGACGGGAGGGACAAAAAAGAAAAAAATCAAATGGGGCTGGGGATGTGGCTCAAGCRGTAGCGCGCTCGAGCAGGGCGCTGGGTTCTATCCTCAGCACCATGTAAAAATAAAATAAAGATGTTGTGCTCCCCGAAAACTAAAAAATAAATATTTTTTTAAAAATTGATGTTAAATGTTCACTTCTTGAATGATGGGGGAGATTGGGGAAAGTTTCTGATTTGGAGTTCARATGCAGGCATTGTTTGGTTTTAGATGCTAATAAAACATTCTGGGTTGTTTTAGTATTTTTCAAAAATTACTGTTGTTCTTGTTTGGCTGTGTGCAGTGCAGTACTAGGGAAGAACCCAGGGCTCCCTGTATTCTAAATAGGTGCTCTGCCACCAAGCTACACCTCAGCCCTTGGGAGGAGTTGGGAAGGAAGTAAGGACTGGGGTCCTTTATGAGGGATGGCTAGAAATGTGAAAGTGGTTAAATAGCTTTGGGGGAAAAAAGACCCAGCTGCAAAGTCTCAGTGAAAGAAGCTGTGAGAGTAGAAGGATCAGTTGGTCAAGTGCAGTGAGGAAGGAACATAAACCTTTCCATGAAACAGGAAAGGATTTTGGTGGTGTGCTGAAGGCTTTCGACAGCTAGGGAACAAAATGTGGCGTGGTGAGCACCACAAGTATTTAGGGTTTGGTGACCCATATCATTGTTCACCTGTCCCAGGAGGATTGGGGCAGCCAAGAGGATGGCTTGCCAGCCCTGTTCCCACAGTCCTCAGAACAGAAAAGCCAGGACACATGCTGCTGTTCGAAGGCAGCCTGGTCTTTCTGCCCCAGGACTATCTTCAAACATCCTCTGTAGAAAGGGAACTGGGAAGTAGTACCAGGTAGTCATCCACTCATGAAATTTCAAAACACTTAAAGAACCTGAAAACTTCCAGGGAAAAAAGACCATCTACAAAAGACCGGTAGACTGAAGGATGAATAGAAGACAGGAAAGCCGTGTTTGAGAGGAACAATGACTATAAACATGAAAGGGTGTTTGGTTTGGTGCTGGTGATCACACTGAGGGCCTCATGTGTACTGCAGAAGTGCTCTGCCCTGACTGCACTCCCAGCCTATAAACAGACCTCTTTGGGTTTTTTTGCTTTTTTTGTTTGTCGGTTGGTTAGTTGGTTGGTTTTTTTAATGTGATGGTGAGGACTGAACCCAGTGCCCCACACATGCTAGGCCAGCGCTCTACCGATAAGCCATAATCCCAGCCCTGTCTCTTTGAGATAGGATCTTACTCTAGTTCCCAGATGGGCCTCAGACTTGCTGTATGCTACTTGGTCCCAGTCCCCGTGGAGGAGTGTGGGTCTGCTTCCTGCCTCAGCTTCTCAAAAATAGTTGGAATTACAGATGTGCGCCACTATGCCCAGCTAACCAGAATTCTCAATCCAGCGAAGCTACTAGTCAAATACAAAGACAGTGTTAGTGACCTAAGGAATTACAGTCCTGAGAAGGCCATTGAGGGTGCAGCGGAGCCAATGAGTATGTGCATGAGAAGGAAGATGGGGTGAGAGATCTTCAAGGACAGCAGTGCAGAGGCTGGGAAACATGGTCCCTTAAAGTGGAGTAGGAAGTTTTCTGCCAGAAAGTTTCCTGGGGGGTTGGGATAACTCTGTGGTAGAGCTCTTGTCTAGCATGCGTACCCAAGCATCTTCTCAGTGATCTGAAAGTCACTTTTGGTGTGGGAAAGAATCTTCTAAAAAAGGAAACAGCAATCAGAAATTCCCTGGAAAGGGGTGAAGGATTACCAGCCTAAACCTAGGAATAATCTTGACATTATACTTAGAGAGAACTTCTTGGGCCTGACTGAAAGAAATTTTGTGTTTGTAGCTACTGTGTTGGACTTGTTGAGCCCAAAGTGTGAGCTGACACACCATAGGCAGCACTTGCACAATCATAAAGTGAAGGTAAATGATGTTGATCTTCTTTTATAATCAGTCAGTGAAAGATTCGTTTGTGTCTAGAGTATGATGACACTCTGCTGGTCCTGAGCATGTAAGAAGTAAAGGTGTGTAGGGTTTGGGTGCCAGGATGCATGAGGGGTGGCGGGTTCATCCCAGTTATATGTGRCATCTCCTGAAGGTCATCTTAACACATCTGCCTGATTGGACAGTGGTGATAAAGAAAATAGAGCCTGGGTGCTCTGTTTTGCCAAGTTTTTGCACTTTGAGAATCTGTGTGAGTTTAATAGGGTTTTCTGGAGGCCCCATAATTGGTGATTGGCACTCAGAAAGTTAAAGATACAGAGGTCCCAAGTTTGTCATGAACAGGGGGCCAGACCACATCTTCACTGATCCACATAATTGGTTCTTCTGGCCACCTTTCCTCATCCCCTCTGCTCATTACTCCAAGCCATGTTGAAGGGCTATAGTGTTAGTTTATAGCAGAGTATTGGATGCTTTCCCCTCTATTCTGTGACTTGGGGTGGTGGGATACTGCACTGGACTTGAAACTGACCAAAGAATGTTTCAGGCTCCTGCCGTGCTCCACCTAGATTACCTATTGGTTAATGCTGTGAGAGGACAGATGGAAGGAATGATGACTTTCATTTGAAAGTCCTGGCCTTGGTGAGGTGGGACCATGGGGAACTTTATTCTGCCCTGAAATGTCCCTTTAATAAAATACTTGAAAAGTAGTCAGTGAGTTGGGCCTGGTAAGTTCTGTTTCCTGATTAAATCCAGTCTCTGTATTTTATTAACTAAAGTTAGCCTTTACAAACCCCTGTTCTTGTCAGGCATGGTGGAGCACATTTGTAATCCCAGCTGCTCGGGAAACGAGGCAGGAGGATCACAAGTTTGAGACCAGCCTGGGCAACTTAGTGAGACCCTGAATTAGAGTTTTAAAAAGACTGGGTGTATAGCTTCAGTGTGGTAGAATGTAGGTAAAGCCCTGGGTTCAATCCCCAGTCCTGAGCCGGGTGGGGGGGGTGAGGGGTGAGGGGACAACTCCAGTTTAGAAAGATGACCATAAAGGCAATCCCAAGGTAGTGATGTTTTTATCACTGTCTACCCTGAGACTTTCACAGGGCTAGGTAAAGTGTGATAATAGAGATGGAAATGACTTTAAAAGTCCTCGCTGTTACATGACTATATAATGTCTGCTGAAGAAACGACTCATTGCACAAAGAAAGGAGGTGAATCGCACTTGCAGAGCTTAGCTGTGTTACCCAGGAACATGTCCTCCCAGCATGGGTCTGAATAGAAGCTGCTGGTCTAGCAATTAACTAAGCTTGTTTTGCAGGCTGATTTTCATTAGAGAATCTCTGCTTCTGGGATATTCATGAATTTGAGTTAGTCGAGAGTTTTGGTTTACACAATTCTCTGCTGACATTGTGTCAGGATGTTCTTGCAAGCTTGAGTTTGGAGCCCATTCTTCACAATGTTCCTTCCACAAATGTCAGAATGAGATGTTTATATGTCCAGCAGTTGGGTCACAGGGAGAGTATTCTCCATTTTTATTGGAACAAAAGAATCTCTACGGAGGGGTGCTTTTCTGCTTGTGCTATTCTTTCTTCAGTCCCCTTCGTCTGAAAAGGTGGTTTGGAACACCAGAACCTTCTGTATTGTTTAGCACAAGTGCTATAATATTTTTAAGAATAGACTTGTTATTAGATATCTGAGCATGGTGGTACACATTTGTAATCCCAGCTACTTGGGAGGCTGAGGCAGAAGGATTGCAAAGTTGGAGGTGAGCCTCCTTAATTTAAAGGAGACCCTATCTCAAAAAAGGGTTGGGGATGTAGCTCAGTGGTAGAGCTCTGGGATCAATCCCCAGAATGCCAGCAGGGGAACAGGGATGATGAACTCATTTTTAAAATAGTCCTGTATAACACTTAGCCATTGGTAATAATGACTGTCATTTCCAAGTGTTTAACATGTGTCATCTTTTAATCTTGCAGCCCTATAAAGTAGGGAGCATTGTGCCTGTTTACAGAATAAGAAACCGAGGTGGAGAAGTTGTAGTTTTTGCTCAAGGTCATGCAGCTAGTAGGAGTCAGCTCCAAGTCACACATCCCATCCCGTCTCGTTTGAAACGCCTGTGCTGTTGTCCTCATTGTTTCTGGGTTCTTCAAGCCTCACAGTCAGTGAATGAACACTGAAGTCTAGTCGCTTGTGAATATTTTGGGAGGGCCAAATAGAATTCTGAGTGGTAGTGTATATGATTTTAGTCTTAAAAACATTTTCAATCCAAGTGTACTTTGCGTGGGGGGGTGGGAGAATGACCACTCTGTAGAGAGTGAAGGGTGATGTGTCAAGGAACTTCAGAGTGGCTGCTAATCTTCCATTGACCTCTTGAGTTCATGGATGTTTGTCCAAATTTTAAATTCTCATCCTAAAAATAGACTTCTGAATACTAGAACACATTTTTTAAAATGACTTTTTACACTTACCAAAAAAACCAAGAGTTGGGCACATGGAACTATTCTCTCTTGTGCAGATTTGAAATTTTCTATAATATAATGTCTTAAAAATTAAGTTTATAGCGACGAATCTCAGAAAATATATGAAGAGGACCTTCCTTATGCCAGGTTTATTTAGATATAATTTACTTACAGAAAAAATCCAACATCTTGGGTATGTACCATTCTGGGAATTTGGACAATTGTAGTCGAGTCACAGTTTACACACAGAGCATTTTGGTGGAGTCATCAAAGAATAAGCATTCTTAATTAGATTGGAACTTGAGTCTTAGTGTACTTAGAAGAGTTACTAGTACTTAAGGAAAGTAGAAACCTTGCATGAATCAATGTTGTTTTTCACACTGATCTAGCCTCCAGGTGGCGCYCTGATACCAAAGCTCTTGCCCTCCCTGGTATGTAAATTCAGACAAAACACCCAGGATATACTGGTATTTAAGACAACAAAGACTAGTTCAGAGCTCAATAGGCAACTGGCACTTAAGAAATGCCTACTAGCTGATGTGATAATCCATTTACAAGAAATAAAAGAGTGTCTGCAGGTTTTGGATGGAAAGAATACCACTCAGAAAATGTTCTCAGTTTAAAGTAGAAATACATGTACAGTCTTGAACAGACTACACGGACATAAGTGAAAGCTACCAGACACATTGTTCCTCTTAGACTTCTAGGATATGGGATTTTAGTCAAAGACATAAGTTCAGATTTTATGACATAATAAGGACACTTTTCCCAAATCCAGGGTGAACAAGAACAATATTGTTAGGATTTTTGTTAACTGAAAGATAACAGAAATAATCCTTTATAACAAAAGGGTGGTGATAAATTAACTTTTAGTTTTAAGGAACCATTGGCTTAGTCGTTTGTTTATTAAGCATGAGCCCTTATGGAGAGGTATGTGATGGCAGAAATGAGAACAAAAAGAAAATCTGTTTCAGAGATTGAAATCTTTTTTTAAAAAAATATTTTTTAGTTGTAGATGGACACAATATCTATTTATTTTTATGTGGTGCTGAGGATTGAACCTAGAGCCTCACACGTACTAGGCAAGTGCTCTACCTCTGAGCTACAACCCCAGCCCCTCTTTTTTTAGTTTTTCTAGGAATTCTTAATTTCTTACCCCAATCACACTCAGATATGTAGGGAGTATTCAGAGAGAAAGTTCTGGTAGCAGACCAAAGGTCAGTTCAGTGCAAGTAGCAGGTGGGTACGTTAAAATTGGAGCTAGCTGTCAGGATTTGCATGGGGTTCTGCCAGGCTGCCCACCTCACCAGGTATCTTGTCACAGATGGGAACTTCCAAGCCCCCAAACAAAAGCAGGGCCACAAGTCTCCATAGTTTAAAATAAAATTATCTCACCATTTTTAAAAACTGTAACTGCCCTTTTACTCTCACCACCAAAATTGATGATAGAAAGGAAACCATGTGAGAGTCTGTGGTTCTCACTAGACTGGCCCACTAGTCCCTCAAATAACAGTGCTGATGGTTTTCTGTGTTTCCTTTGAAAGCTATTTGATACTTCAGTATGTCAAAAGAATTTTGTTTAAAAGGACTATTTCATACACTTTGCAAAAATGATATATTTTTTTCCCACCATTTTTTTTGTACCAGGGATTGAACCCAGGGGCACTTAACTGCTGAGCTACCTCCCCAGCACTTTTTTATATTTTAGAGACAGGATCTTGCTGAGTTGCTTAGGGCCTCGGCCTCCCCAGTCGCTGCAATTATAGGCGTGCACCACCACGCCCAGCCCGAATTTTTAATTCGTGGGTTATAGTTATACACATTGATGGGATTTGTTGTTACATATTCACGTGCACACAACTTAGCAGTATATTTTAGCCAGTATCGCTCCCCAGCACATCCCCTCAAAAATTGATGTGTCATAAAGCTCGGTTATATCAGTGTAAAGTGGACCCATTTGTCTATGTGTTTTTAAGCAGCTGTATAGAGACACATATTTTTTAGACATTTCATGCCTGTTATTCCTTTTTCATAAGGTACCTTTGTCATCGAAGCAGCTGCTTTGAGTGCCTTGCCCAGCTCCCACTAGGAGATTGAGCTGTGGTCTTTGTATTTTTCTAGGGGGGCAGGAGAAAAGAGCAGGTATTTGAGTCACACAGATCACTGTGCTATGCTTAGCCAGCTTCCCAGCTCCGAGGCCACAGTGGCAGTGTGCAGCCTTCTGGGTGTCACCCCTTATCAAAGTCTTCAGCACTCATTGAAGCAGTCTTGTCCTCCTTCATGGGAACATGTTATAAGCTTAGTTTTGTTAGCTATAAGGAGACCATTTTAGGCACTATATGATTTATGCCAGTTGAGTGTACCCACTCCTACAAATCTGTCTCTCTCTCTTTCTCTCTCTCTCTCTTTTTTTTTTTTGGATAAGAATGAAGCCAAGAAAAATTAAAGAAGATGATGCTCCAAGAACAATAGCTTGCCCTCATAAAGTAAGTAATGCTAGGGGGAGGTTCACGGAACCGCTACTGAAGTCTTAGAGAGTTTGTAAGAAATTTGCACATTTATTTCCACTTTCATAATTGAGATAAAGGGAGGAACTATAATCTTTGGTTTTTAAATTCAAGAGACAAGAGTTTTGTTGTTTAGTAAAAGCCACCTAAATTTGTGATTTATTGTATTTTATTAAGTGGGCCACTGTAGGGAGCTGCGTTGATTGCTGTCTGTTAACTATACTGTGCCAGGGCTCCATTCCTTTGGGGTCATTAACAAGTCTTAAGGCATTGGGCTGTAACTCGCCCACCGCCCTTTATGAAATGTAGGCTCATGAATGAAATATGGAAATATTTGCTAAAAAACAAAGCCAAAGACTTCATAATTTCTTTCAGTTTTCTTATTTACCCTGTTAATCATGTTTCTAGAAGGGTACTTAATTGTTTTCAAATGTAGCCAGTCTTGCACATAAAGAGGATAACCCAGAAGGTACTTTGAGGTGTTAGTTGGGGGCTATTTTTCAAACTTGATTGGAAGTAAAACTTAACAGAAAAATGATACCACATAAGTGCAGATAAACAAAGGGGGAGAAATTATAAATGGAGTAAAGAATTTTAAAAAATCAATTGGAGAAGGATAAATTTAGTTTCATGGAATCGCCCTTATGAAAACTGCACACTCCCAAATTTTCATATTTTTAATTCTCTTATTAATGTAGTGATTTTGAAATATAAAATGAGTTCCATTGGGGCAAAAAATAAGCATTTGAAAACAGTTATGACTGAAGTGCCTGTCATCTCTAGCTTCTCTGTATACTTCTTTTCAATTAAATTTTTTAAAATTCCATTTTGTAAATGGAAACTGAACCTAGAGGTCAAGGTGAAAAGTCTGGCTTTCCCTCCCTTTTGCCTGTGAAGCTGTCTGGTGGTGCCCTGTGCTGTCCTTCTGTCATGCTGTCTCACCATTTCCCCATTCACTCCATCATGGGCAACAACTGCAGAAGAAATTGTTGAGGACATGCTTCTCGGGCGCCGCACATCCATCTGCCTCCCCCGCACTGGTATCGCTTTGCCTGCCTCTTCCTTTTCCCGGTGTCTCACAAAATAAATTTCTTCTGTAGTTGCCATTCCTTGGAGACCCTCTTGCTTCTTTCTCTGTCAAGAAGGGGAAAGAGGCAAAGAGAGAAGAGGGAACAGTAGGCGATGGAGAATGACAGCCCATTGTTGCAGCACAGAATATGGGGCCCACCAAAGGTAGTGGTGGACTACCGTCATTTTAACTCCGTTTATTTCTCAGTGCTTCTGTTACTGCATCGGGGGGTGTGGCGGGGTGAGGCGGCTGTGGCATAGCTGGAAGCCGGGGCGCTGGGTTCTATTCCCAGCTTGGCTACTACTAGTAGTGTGACCTTGGGCAAGTCTACTTCAAGACATCTCTAAGCCTCAGTTTCCTCATCTGTAAAACAGGGGTTTGCATTAAAAGTTAAGGCCTTTCTCAGTTGTCTGTTTTTTGTCTTAAATAATTTAATGTTCTATTGTAATGCTAAGTAAAGTTAAAATGGGGAGTGGGGAGGTTGCTTCATTCTAATAGATCAGTAAAGGTTGCTAAGTGGTTGAATCCTTCTCAGAGTTTACAGTGTGAACCACTAAGCTTCTTTCTCTGTTTCAAGGGCTGCACAAAGATGTTCAGGGATAATTCTGCTATGAGAAAACATCTGCACACCCACGGCCCCAGAGTCCACGTCTGTGCAGAATGTGGCAAAGCTTTCGTTGAGAGCTCAAAACTAAAACGACACCAACTGGTTCATACTGGAGAGAAGCCCTTCCAGGTAGAGCCAGCTCCCTCTCCCCTCTCTACTGCCTTGCTGTCTTGGGCGCCACAAGCTAGCCGGTGTGGCTGGCACAGGAGGTGCCAGCACAGAGTGAGGGTCTTCCTATCATTCCTCCTGAGTTGCATGCAATGCTCACTTCACTTCACCTCACCTTCTGGCCTCCCTACAGGATCTAGATGAGGCTGGATACAGGCGTGTTCCTGTCTGTGGAGCACTTTTTTTTTTTGGTAGGAGAATACAGAATTAAGAGCTAAATTCTAGTGTGTTCATGATGGGGTGGAAATCATTAATTTTTGGTAGGTAATAGCATATTGAAATACAAATTGGCCAAGAATGTCTTACATTTTATTGTATGATACTAAGTAGAGGTGATATTGTATCTTGTCTTTAGAGGCTTACAAGTAAGTTAACAAACTAGTAACAAGGTGAATCTGACATGATTCTTTTTGACGGTTGACACCAGAAGACTTCTTACTCATTAATATTTTACTTTTAAGAATATTTATAGACGTATTAGGATCCTAGCCTGAGATCTGGACAGCTTGCCGCTTGACAGTGTTTCTGTCCAGTTGTACGCACTCAGTCCATGAGGGCAGCGCAAGTCTTCAGAGGGTGGCAACGTACATAGTTAGAAATCCCTACTGCTGATTCCAGACTGCATCTCCCAGGCAGGGAAGAGAGTGTTTGGTAAAACAGATGGGCTGAGGTCCACCCGAGCAGTGAGTGCTGGCTCGCGGGGTCTGGTCATGCGTGCCGAGTAGGCTGATGTCTGGTCTTTCCTCGACAGTGCACATTCGAAGGCTGTGGGAAACGCTTTTCACTGGACTTCAATTTGCGCACACATGTGCGAATCCATACCGGAGACAGGCCCTATGTGTGCCCCTTCGATGGTTGTAATAAGAAGTTTGCTCAGTCAACTAACCTGAAATCTCACATCTTAACACATGCTAAGGCCAAAAACAACCAGTGAAAAGAAGAAAAAGAAGACCCTTCTCGACTGCAGGAAGCATCTTCCAGGAGTGTGAATGGGAATAAATATGCCTCTCCTTTGTATATTATTTCTAGGAAGAATTTTAAAAATGAATCCTACACACCTAAGGGACATGTTTTGATAAAGTAGTAAAAATTAAAAAAAAAACTTTAATAAGATGACATTGCTAAGATGCTCTATCTTGCTCTGTAATCTCGTTTCAAAAACACGGTGTTTTTGTAAAGTGTGGTCCCAGCAGGAGGACAATTCATGAACTTCGCATCAAAAGACAATTCTTTATACAACAGTGCTAAAAATGGGACTTCTTTTCACATTCTTATAAATATGAAGCTCACCTGTTGCTTACAATTTTTTTAATTTTGTATTTTCCAAGTGTGCATATTGTACACTTTTTGGGGATATGCTTAGTAATGCTATGTGTGATTTTTCTGGAGGTTGATAACTTTGCTTGCARTAGATTTTCTTTAAAAGAATGGGCAGTTACATGCATACTTCAAAAGTATTTTCCTGTACAAAAAAAAAGTTATATAGGTTTGTTTGCTATCTTAATTTTGGTTGTATTCTTTGATGTTAACACATTTTGTATAATTGTATCGTATAGCTGTATTGAATCATGTAGTATCAAATATTAGATGTGATTTAATAGTGTTAATCAATTTAAACCCATTTTAGTCACTTTTTTTTCCAAAAAAAAAAAAAATACTGCCAGATGCTGATGTTCAGTGTAATTTCTTTGCCTGTTCAGTTACAGAAAGTGGTGCTCAGTTGTAGAATGTATTGTACCTTTTAACACCTGATGTGTACATCCYGTGTAACAGAAAGGGCAACAATAAAATAGMAATCCTAAAGAAAGAATATGGCAGAAAAAAGATCTGTAAGCACAGTCTTATTTTCTTCTGTTGTCCAGAATACTTATAATTCTTGAGCCTCCCAGAAATTGGAAGCTAAATAAAGCAACTCAAGTTTCCTTTAATTTTGCACTCCATTACAGTGACTTGTGATGAAAGCGATGCATGGATATTTTAATACTCCCCTACACTTCCTGAGTTCTGAAAGAGTAGGCAACAGGCACCCCAAGTTAAGGAACTACCTCAGAGCACCTTAGACCAGGCCCATGGGGCTAGGATCGGATTTTGGCACTCCTGCGGTGAGGGTGGGAGTGAAGCAGGTGTGCGCGGCCTGGCGCCTTCTGGAGGAAAGGCACCAGTTGGCAATAGGGCACATGGGGAAGACCAGGCTTTTCTTTCCACTGCTCAGCTTCAGAGGCAGCTCCAGTGGGCCCTCGGCTCGTCCAACAGAAAACATGGTTGTTGGGTATCTGGTTTGAGAGCCTTTGCTCCTCCGTCTTAGTGGAGGCCTTACAAAGTGCCAGCAATTGTGGCAAGAGAGTGCCGGTAGCTTGATTTCATGCTTCTAAGTGGACACTGAGTGCAGATTGGCAAGGTGATTAGATTATTAGAAAATTGTACTCAATGAGTACTTGACCTCATGTTGTGACCTCTTAAATGTATGACTATAATTTTTTAATTTTGCTTAGGGTCAGATATAGGACTCATTGAAAATATTTTATTTTATAAACTGCCACAATACAGCAAAATCCCATTTATTCAAATTGCAGTCATTCTGAGTCTTTCTGCTGAGTGCTTGACTCTGCAAGGTCACTGACAGACAAGCTAGTATGCTTACAGAGAAAACGGCCAGGACACCTTCTGGTCAGAGGTATAGTCCAGTTTCTTACAGCTTCTTTACCAGGGGGATTGGTGACCTAATGACAGTGACCCCCAAGGCTCTGTGGAATTTTGAAGTGCCTTCTGAAACCATAAGTGAAAAATTTAACTTCAGACACTTGTTTTTATTTGTCCAGAATCTGTTCTCCATTGAATATTTTGGTGGAACTGTGTTAATCAGAAGACCCCAGGCTTTGCTGTATCTGGCAGTCAGGAGAGACGGGAGCCCATGGTAGAGTCCCCTTCGCAGCTGAGCACCCCCTGTGAGCAAGTAATTCTTTCCAAGGCTGGACAGAGCCTTCTACTGGTGCCCATCCTTCCTGCAAGCGCCACACCTTCCTTCCCACCATCAGGTCCAGCAGTCCTGATGTGGCTGTACTGAGATGCTGCCCTAGTCAGTGGCCATCAGAGGAGTCTGGAGCCACATTGCCCTCACCCAGCATTATGCTGCACTTGAGCCTGGTCCTGGCACCATCCTCGGGATGCTTGCCCGAGGCCCCACAGCAGAATAGCCCTGTACCCTGGGAAAGCCTGAGCAGCAGCCCTGAGCCACGCTGTGGCCTTCGGGAGCCAGGCTCTTGTGTGCAAGGAGGTCCCTCTTCCTCTGTGCCTTCATCCCTTGGGGGATGCCCTTGATCGTCTCTTTTGTCCCGTTTTGTCTCCAAGTGAAACCGCCTTCACTCCCTGCCCCTTTCTCTGTTCTCGTGTCTTTTTCTCAGTCTGCAGAGTTAACTTCTATGAGGAGTGCAATTTGGAGTTCAAGACAATAACAAGCGGGTTCCTTGTTGACGTAGCACTGGATTAACAGCAGTAGTGTAGGTGACTGATGAGCGAGCAGCGGTGTGGAATCGTTCTCACTGGCTCTAACTTAAGCCCGCTTTGCTTGTTCGAATTTMTAATTTTGTTAAAGATGTAATTTACTAAAATTTGAAATGGTGTTCTAACAGTGATTCCATTGTCTCGAATTACTCTGATTTATAGTAATACTGATAGACATATTTTCTTACATCTGAGCAGAAATGAATGCATGTTTCTAGCACATGTAATATAAAAACTCCAGAGGATAAGTTTACACTTAACAAGATGTTGTTTTCTATTTTTGAATTTCTTATAATTTCCCTCTCTGGGAGTGGGGTTGCAGGGGGCATAATATTTGTATAAAGAACTGTCACCCCAGAGTGACATTTATTTTCCAAGGTGACGCCGAGCTCATGCTGTTGGCTTCGTGTGGTGTCGTGTGTGCTCCGCCTGGACTGAAGGCCTGAGGAGTTGAGGAAGATCAGGGTTTTTTTTCCTATTTGTTTTCATGTGCAAGTTCTCTTAAATGTCAGTTATTTCACTAGATTGGAGAAGGACCCTTTAAGAGGACCCTATACCATGCCTGCCCTTGTTCCTGAGCAAGAGCTCAAGAAATGCAGAGTGAGGGAGGTGCCTGGGTGGTGGCAAGTCCTCAGATTCTGCACAGGAGAGCTTGGCCCGCTGTGAATTGGAAACCTGCTAATTCCACCCACCAATTGATCACTTCCTTGCCTGGCTCTTTCACTTTTCTCAACACCTGACCAACAGCAAGGGCGGGGACCCTAAAGGTCAAAACAGTGGTTAGAACTGAAGTCGCTGGCCGGAGCCCTCCCTGGTACTGGGTTACCTTGGGCCTCTGGCCTTCAGGGTCACTGGTCTGACTTTCAGCCCTTTGTTGTGGGTCCATTTCGCCCCCACCCCCATGGCATTAGTGCTGCTGCAGCGTCTCTTCAGAGTTCATCCCAGCAGGACTGGCAGGGGCATTCCACCCAAACTTTCTTAACCCAAGAGGAGGGAGAAGAAGCCATAAGTCCAAGATGTGCTTGCTCATGGTGCTGGCCCTGAGTTTCACAGCCTGCTCTTTTGACTTCAGAGGACAGAAGGGCCTCCGTGCCTCCAGCACACTGTAGCCTCGTAGCAGCATCCAACTGAGTGACTGGCTAGATCTCAAGACACCCTAATTACTGACCTTGGCCCTTCTCACTGCTCAGGTTATATTCAGATGCCCTGGCTGCTTCAAGATGGTTCACTGCAGGCCCTTCAGACAAGTGGCATCAGGTTAGAGGGCAGATACATGTCTAAGAGGCTTCTTGGCATCTACCCTGGGCCTGGGTGGTCCACATAGTCCTGGGAAAAACTTAAAGCAAGACTGGATTGATGGGAGGGGTGGGTGGCAGACGTGTGAATGGGTGCCACCCAWACCCCTTATAAAAACAAAGGAAACCTGAAACTGAACATTGGCATTAGGCCACAAGCAAACCAACCCTCCCAGAAACTACTAAAAGGCATGAGCTGCCACATGGAGGGCTCAAGACACTCAGGCCCTTAGTATTGTTGAAAAGGAGCAATTGGCTGTGTGCTGTGTTGTCTGCAGCCTTTCTTGTCTGGGGCTGCTTGGTGTCTGCATATATCATGGAGGCAAGAAGGGCACCAGAACCAATCGGAGCAACCTCCTTCTCTACACGTCCGCAGCATTAGGCTTTGTTATCTGCAGATGGCAAGAAAAATTCTGTTGTATTCACTTTCTGCTAACTTCTGTAGGCCCTGGCTCAAGGACTTAGCATTGTGTCTCATGTTCATCTTTTTCTTGTGTTCTTTGCCATTTCTGGAATTGTCCTTGGTTTTTCCTTAGCTCATAGGTCATAGACGCAGAAATATTATAGTATTTAAGGCATCCGCATCAAGCATCAGATGGCTTTGCATCCAGAAAATCATTAACTCAGTTTGAAGCACCAAGCATGTGTGACATGGCTCTATAAAATATAATAAATGCATACTGTTAAGCTTTCCAATGCCTGTGGTTCTCATTTGTTCTTCACTTTTCTGAGTTTCATTACACATTGAATTTGGAGATAACTTCCATCTGGCCTGAGAATTGCCAGGATTCCCTGAGATCCTTGTGGTGAGAATGGAAACACCCGTGACTCGGTCACACCAGCAACAGATGCTCCCACTGGTTCACTGTTCCACTTCCAGAAGCGTAGCCAGAGGAACTCTGGGTGCAGCTGGGCCTGAGATCTCCAGTATCCACCGGGAAGTCCAGAGCCAGTAAGAAGAGCTTACGAACTAGGATGGACTCGTAAAAATGATAGGATAGGCTGAAAGCTGCTTAGGATTTGCCTTCTGGAACTCTAAGACAGATGGCGGCATTCCACTGCCCATCGTCCCTGTGACCTTCCCCTTGCTTGTGATAGATGGGCTGCCTTGCCTAAGCTGCTGAGGTTGGCAAGTGCCCAACCTCTGAGCCCAGAACTGAGTGAGGCCCAGGGGAGGGCTCCGTGGGGAGTGATCCTGGGGAACGTCAGTGTGTGCATCTGCAGATCTTAGATGGGAGGGACCCAAGGGCTTTGGGGTTGCTCTCTGTGAGCCCCCCTCACCCCGAAAAAAAAAAAAAATACATCATACACAAGGCTCTGGCTTCTGATGGCTTTCTGCCCAGGGCCAGACTGGGCACCTGCCTGTGCAGAACACTCTTGTCTCCTGGCCTTGGAAGCCAGCCCTCAGGACTCCCCCACTGCCAGACATCTCAACTCCTTCCTGGAGCCTGTTGACATCAGCTATGGCCATCTACAGCATGGGACTCGGCACCCTATCAAAGCCTGCTCCCCGTGTCCTACTAAAAAAATCACTTTTCCATTCACCCTCGAGTTCAGCCTTCGCACTACCTGCTTTCCACCCCCTACAGGGCAGTTGCTGGATGCCACCCCTCACCTCTCAGGGTTTCATGGCCAAAGCTTCCCTTCTGGAGTTTCCAGGTTCACTCGTTTATTCCACACACACATGGCACATTGCATGTCTGGCTGTTTCAGGTACTAATGGGACAGTCGTCCTGGCACATGTGTTGCACCTAGTAGAAGAGAATAAGTGTGGTTGGGTGTAGCACACACCTGTAATCCCACCATTCTGGGAGGCTGAAGTAGGAGCATCGCAAGCTGGAGGCCAGCCTGGCTAACTCGGCAAGACCCTGTCTCAAAAAACAAAAGGGCTGGGATTGTAGCTCAATGGCAGAGCATCCATGGCTTCAATCCCTGGTACCCCAAATAAATAGGACCAGGGGGGTAACTCACTGGTGGAGCACGTGCCTGGCCTGTGGAGATCTGGGGATCCACCCCCCACACCGTGCTGCAAAAGAAAGGAGGGTGAATGCTGTGGATTAAGGGGCTGGGGGCTGTGACACTGGCTTTCCTCTCCTGGACCTGGATATGCTTCTMTGCCAAGCCTCTGCCCTCGGTCGCRGGTGGGCACTGTGTGCCACTTGGGTGCAGGGCTGGGACGATGCAGGGAGAGGCCAGAGGCGGGTGCAAATAATGAGGGCATGTGGGGAGCTTGTGTCCCTCACCCCAGGATGGGGCAGGCATTCTGGGCCCAGGTAAAGGAAACACCCAGGTGGCCTGGTGGGTGGATCACCATCTGTGATGCCCAACTAGGGGAGGGATGCGTTGCAGGAGAGCCCCACTGGAAAGGCCTGGACTTGGGGCCCTGTGGTCCCCAGTGAGAGATACACTGTCCCCCCAGAGGCTGGGGAGGGGAGAGCCAGTCACCCCCCAGGGAAGTGAAGACCTGATGTTGGGAGGGGCCCTGGAAGAAGGGTTCTCAGGAAGAAGGGGGCCAGGGCCTCGGGTGCGTCCATGTGCTTTTTTTCCTGCTCCCTCTGCTGTGGCTTGAGTATGACCCAAGGGAACATGGGATTGGTCCCCGGGGTAGTGTGTGGGAGATGGTGGGAGCTGGAAGGGGTGGGCTAGTTTGGGAATGTTGCCCTTAGTGGGGGGAATTGGTGTAGCTGGTGGCCCCTGTTAGCTTTCCTGAGTGGGCTGTTACAAAGCAAGGATACCCACACACTTGGCCTCTTCCCTTCTCTCTTAACCATGTTGCCACCAAACCAAGGGGGCCCTCACCAGAGGCCAAACAGATGGGGCCACCCGAGTGACTTTCAAACTCTAAACCTGTGAGCTAAAGAAACCCCCTTATTCTGTCATGTACCAGCCACAGGTACTGTTWTATTTTTGTGCTAGTAGGGATTGAACCCATGGGCATCTACCATGCAGCTACATCCTCAGCCTTTTTTATTTTGGTACCAGGGATTGAACCCAGGGGCACTCGACCACTGAGCCACATCCCCAGCCCTGTTTTGTATTTTATTTAGAGATGGGGGTCTCACTGGGTTAAAAGCAAGCTCCTCACCTTTTGCCGAGGCTGGCTTTGAACTTGCGATCCTCCTGTTTTAGCCTTCCAAACCGCTGGGATTACAAGCGTGTTCCATCATGCCTGGCTGCCCTTTTTATTTTTTTTATTTTGAGACAGGGTCTCACTAAGTTGCCCAGGCTGGTCTCAAACTTGCAATCCTCCTGCCTCAGTCTTCCTAGTGGCTGGGATTACAGATGCACACCACCATGCCTGACAGGTGTGTGATAGTAATGAAAAATGGACTGGGACACCTTCATAGTACAGGGAGGTGGAGGGGTCCCCCCTTGCTGCCATAATGCTGGGTACATGCCGACATCCACTCTCAGGGCCACCCTGGCCCCTCCAGGTGCAGTGAAGGCCTGTGATCCCCTCTTCACGCCCCCCGAGCGTGTCCTGATTTCAGTTGTCACTCCCRCCTTCTCATGCCCCACTCTACTGCCTGGCCCTGTACTCAGCAGCCTCTCCCCTCATCCTTCCATTCATTCAGTAACAAAAGGAAGCAAACAGAACTCTCAGCACCAGAGATCATCCTGTCTCTCTACCACAGAAACGTCCCCGTCACCCCTGTGCACAGATCAGAACTCCTGAGTGTGTGTGTCCATCCAAACTCCACTGCTACAGCCTGCGTGGTGTCAGTGGCCTGGCAGGGCAGGGCCAGCACCCACTCTGAGGGACCCTGCTGGCCACAGAGCTTAGCCCAATGGATGTGGGAAGTGGAGCTAGAGGAGGACCCACAGCCATGGCCCTCCCTGGTGAGCCTCTGGTGGGTACCTGGGTGAGAGCGAGGAAGTGGACCAGGCAGCATGTGGCCTGGGTCCTGGCTGTGACCAGGGCCTCCCAAGTTCCCTCCCTCTGGTGCCTGAACTGGCACTCCAGCCAAGTCTGTCACTTGCAGTCACAGGGCCTGGCTGCTCGAATCTCCTGCCACAGCATGAAGGAGAGCACGGGACACGAGGGCTGTGGCCTGGAGGGTTGCAGTTCTGGCCCCAGCACCAGCTGGTGGCGTGAGCTGGGATGGGGCCTCTCCTTCGCTATTGACCCCGCTGCCATGCAGGATGTGGGCACCAGCCCTGGAGGCTGCTGAAAGGCGAAGGCCTGCTGTCACGGCCCAGCTGCTGTCTCGTCACCAGCACCCCCAGTGCAGGCAAAGCCGGGAGGGCATGGCTTATGTGGGATGAGGGGTCACAGTTTCCCTCATATCGAGAAATGACTCACTGAAGGCCAGGCCAGCGTGGGCTTCACACAGGGATTCTGCTCCTTCATTCTGAAGGCTGAGGATTGGAGGGAAAAGGCAGAGAGGTCAGCATGTGCCCCCAAAATCGCCATGGGGTGGGGGTGACCTCTATGCCTGAACCCTGGGCGGGGCCTGTCCTCTGCTCTCTGCCCCTTCAGGCTCTAAGCCCCACCCCAACCCCTGGTCCCAGAGACAGCTGCCCAGCAATGCCCTTTCTTAAGGGCCTCTGTCCACCCCCACCTGCTCCTTTGTCCCCATGGCCCATTGTTTCTCAATTTCCCATGGGGTCTTCAAAGCACAAATCAGGTCCCGTCACTTCTCTGGGTGAAATCTGCCATGCTGTTGGATGCCACACAGCTGTGTACCACTGCCTGTGACATGTGTGATGGAGAAACCCAGGACAGTGCATTGAACATAGGGCCCTGGCTGGCCTTCCACACGCCCAGGGCCAGTCTCCCCTGCACCCCCAGGTACCCTGTCCCCACTTGAGTAGGAAGAGAGCAGGGTCAGGAGTCAGGGGTCACAGGATGGGCTGCAGGCACAAGGACCGCAAGCATCTTTCTCAGAAGCCCCAGGCACCAACTGGAAGTTCCCCTCACTGGCTGGTCAGGGACATGCAGCCACCCAAGCTTCACGAGAGGTGGGGAGATTTTCATCTGGACACTGAAGCCCCAAACATTGGGCAAGTTCCACAGGCTGGTGCTGGGCACTAAGGTGTCTTTAGGGCACGGGAGAGCTGGTCCCTCCCCTATGGTGTTGGGGGCTCAGCTTGTTGGTTCAGCCTTGAAAGGAAGGGCCTCCAGGGCTGGCGGGGTCACAGCAGGCAGAGGCTAACTTTAGCCGACCTTCCAGAAGCCCTCCAGGAACTTGGGCTGGGCTAGGTCCCACCATGCACTAGTTGCCAGGGTTAATGTGAGCAATGGCTCCACTGAGACATCCCTCTTCTAGGCCCGCCCCTGCCCTTCCCTGTTGGCAGTGTCCCCACCACAGGCCTCCCTTAGCTAGGAAAACATCCCAGGGCACTTGCTACTGAGACACTGAGACTGCCTCGCAGCTGTGGCTTTAACTCGAGCTTCTCACTTTGCAGGGGAGGAAACAGGTGCTCATGTGAAGCCTTAACCTGCCCCAGGTCCCTCCCACAGTCCACAAAAGTCCCTCACTTAYAAAACCATCAGCACTTTATTCCCTTGGTTTCTATACAATAACACGAGGCTGTACCGAGCTGGGGTCCTCACCGAGCAGTCTGCCTCCTTTGGGGAGTTAACATTCCTCAGAGTGAAGGGACCCGCACCAGCCTTGCCTGTGCCCACTAACAAGCCCTTCTGTCCCTCACAGGGACACCAGGCACTGAGGAGACTGGCTGGCAGGTACCATTTGCTGAGAGCAGACATGGAACTTCCACTCCAYGAGCCAAGCTGCCCAGCCTCTGGAAGGGATCCCATGCCACTCTCTGGCCAAGCCTCTACATACTCTGGGGAATCCTGGATGGTGGTAGTGACCCATAAACCCAGATATCAACTGACCTCTGCCCCCATTTGCAGACAGGAACCCTGAGGTCTTAGTGAGAGGACTTCTCCTGATTACAGCTACGTCATTTTTTGTTTGAGACAGGGCCTTACTAAATTGCTGAGGGTGGGCTCACACTTGAGATCCTCCTGCCTCAGCTTCCTGAGGCACTGGGATTAAAGTTGTGTGCCACATGCCGAGCTGCTGTACCAATTTAACTGTTGAGATTTCTCACTGCCTGTCTCTTTCCCCAACCGGTTCTTCCGCTGACAAGGAGACTCCAGCAGACTTCCTGCCAAGGCCCCAGGTCACCCTACAGTAAGAAGGGCAGCTGCTAGGGTACTCTGAGCTGTCATATGGAAAAGCTGGCACAATGGTAGAGCATCTGGTTGTGCCATGCCAGAAGCTCCAAGCCAACACCTGTCCCAATACAGAGGAGGTCAAATCTTCCCTGGGCAGCCTGTCAATCAGAGATCTCGCAGGTAACCTGCAGGGCAAGAGCAGGAAGAGCGGATCTGGGAGCAGGGCTGGAGTGTTGGTGGGGTTTTGGAGTAAGTTCCAGGTCCAGACACCAACTCAGGCAGTCCTGGTGCTAGACGGCTAGGGCACCATCTCTGACCTTCCTGGCTGACACACATAGATAAGAGGGTCCCATCTCAGGTGAGAAGACCCAGGCCGGAGGAGTGATTCACGGTTCAGGTCAAGCTGATGAGGGAACTGAACCCAAGTCTGATGGAGTACTGGCCCAGGCTTGAGACCGGCCCTTAGATTTCATGCCCTTAGCCACCCTGACAACATTGTTTTGTGGCACTCCGGTCTGGGGTGATGGCTTCTCAACCTTACACTGCAAGGGGCGGCCTGATGTCTGTGGGGTTCTGCAGAGTGGCCTGGCCCCAGGGCAGGAGGGGCATCACAGGCTGGAGGGCTGGGACAGGGCGGGCCCTGCGGGGGCAGCTGGCGCGGCCTCGCCCTCAGGCCGGGCCTCCTCTCCTCTGGCGTAGCTGAGAACCACGGTGACGGTGGCGAAGGTGGCCGCGTTGACGGGGAAGGCRCGCAGCAGCGTGGAGGCCAGCCCTCGCGTGAAGACGCGCCAGCCCTCAGCCTGGTAGCTCTGGCGCACGCAGTCGAGGATCCCGCTGTAGCGCGGGGCGCCCCGCAGCCCATCAGCCTGCAGCCGCGACTTGACCACGTCCACTGGGTAGGTGGACAGCCAGGACATGATGCCCGACATGCCGCCGGCCAGCAGCAGCTTGGGCACGAGCAGGCGGTCGCCGGGCTCGCAGCCTAGCATGCGCGTGAGCACGTCGTAGGTGAGGAAGTACACGCCGAAGCTGGGCGTCTCCCGCAGCAGAGTGGACGCCATGCCCCGGTTGACGCCGCGCACGCCCTCGCGCTGGTAGATCTGCGCCAGGCAGTCCAGGGAGCCCTTGTAGGTACGGGCTGGACCGGCGTCCTGCAGCTGCAGCCGAGTCTTAGCCAGCTCCATGGGGCAGCAGATGACGCACTGGATGGCGCCCGCAGCCGCACCAGCCAGGAACTGGTTCAGCGGTGAGTCCTGGCCCAGGGCCCGGAGAGTATTGCCTTGCACCCCGAACACGAGCGCGTTGATGAAGGTGAGCCCCATGAGCGGCGAGCCCAGGCCCTTGTAAAGGCCCAGCACCTGTGGAGACAGAGATACATGCCATCAGGGCGGGCAGTGTTGTTGTGCCTGCCTGGGGACCAGGGGCTGCCCAGCCTACCTCCGCAAACTCTCCACACAGCCGGTGGCAGTCTAGCCCACCCCAGGTTCATGAGCACCAGCAGAATTATTGTTACTGTTACTGTTTTTTTGTGGGTACTRGGGATTGACACTCAACCACTGAGCCACATCCCCAGCCCTTTTTATTTTGAGACAGGGCTAAGTTGCTTTGAACTTGAGATGACCCTGCTCCAGGCTCCAGAGCTGCTGGGACCACATGACCACTGTAGTGTTTTTTTCCTTTTCTCGAGACAGGGTACCAGGATGTTGCCCAGGCTGGTCTCAACGGATCCTGCCTCAGCCTCCAGGGTAGCTGAACATGGCTGGGACTACAGGTATGCACCACCAGACCCGGCTCCAAGCAGAATTTTATTTGAAGCAAAGTCCTCAGCATAACATGATTTTATATTTCCAAAGTCTTCATGCCCCTTAGTCACCCTGGTGTTGTTTTCTGGCACTCTGGTCTGGGGTGGTGGCTTCTCAACCCTACATTACAACTGCCCTGGCCACTCACACTCTCCTGCTTGATGATGGTCTGGAAACAGTGTAGGGTCCCTCGGTACTGGGGCTTCTCCACACTCTGCACCTGGAGTCGTACCTGAAAGGACAGAGTCCGGTAAGAGGCAGGCAAGCAGGAGACCAGAGCACCCAGTCCCCTGGCTCAGTGCTCACAACTGCCCAGGGAGGCCTCCCAAGGTGGCCCAACACAGAGCGCAGGAACTAGTAGCCTTCTGTGGCTTTGGGGATTCTAAGGCAGGGCAGAGCCAGGTGTTCACGCCTCTTCAAGGTGGGACAGAGGTCCCCAAGATATCCAACCGAGACAAGCCCCTTGTTTTTGCCACTATTGCACAGTATGCTAGAGTGGGACATGAACTGTCTCCTGGGACCAACCTATTGTCCAGGTGACACCTGTCATCCCAAACCATGGCCAAGGCCAAAGGAGTTCCCAACCTCATGACCCGTAGGTGGCTCTCCTCCCTGGTGGGCCTCAGGGCAATGGGCATGGGCTGCACTATTGCTTGGGTCCTTATGAGAACTGTGGTCACAAGTTAATAGTAGTGACAGGAAAATAGCTGAGAGCCTCCTTGGGGACCCATGGCAGCAATTCTGGGGCCTGCCTCCTCCGGTCAAAGCAGTCTTTGTCAAGAGCTTATCTCTGCTCATTCACAGGCTCTACCCGGCACAGGGGGAGGGGCGTTTCCTGAACTTGGAATCCGCGTCACGGGGCTGGGAAAACTAGGTCACATCATACTCTCAGGAGTGGGTTCCCTAGATCTGACTCGGAAATAGTCCTTATCACAACCAGGGCTTGGGGAGCAGGTGCGTCACACCCATTATCCCTGGGCACTGCCGGGGGTCCCAATTCCAAAACGGGAAGACGGAGGCTCAGCAATGTTCTGAAGCATGGCCACGGCTGTCCTCTCCAAGGACGCAAGCAGTGCTGGGGAGGGTGAGGGCAGGTCAGGGGTGCAGCAGGGGAGCACCCTCCCAGGGAAAGCCAGGCTTCCTCGAAGCCTTTCCAGCTCTCCACCACAACAGGTGGGTCTCCCCACTGGTCAGTGCACCACAGAGAGTCCTGTTAGGAAAAACTGTACCACCTCTGCACACAGGCCCCCAGTGGCCAGAGCAGCTGGCAGTGGCGTGCCCCTGGCGCCGACTCGCCCCAGCACCCTTCCTACCTTGATGCCCAGCTCTCTGCCAGGACTTGGCAGGGAGGGGAGCAATTTTCAGAGCAGAAAAGCAAAACCCCTCCTTGAATTCTAACCCATACTAACACCAGGCACTGCAGCTCGGCTGGGGCCCTGCGAGGCGAGTGTCTTTCCCTTCAGTGTTCTGGGTCTCCAGGGCACCTCTGCTTCTCCTGAAGCCCTCGACACTGGCACTGCGGGCTCTCAGCAGAACTGATGTGAAGCAGCACTGTCCCTTCCTTGGGTCAGCCTCACTGACATCTGGGCTGTCTTTAAGTATCTGCAGGACACAGGCACCAATGAGTGCCCAGGCCCAGCAGCTGGGATGTCAAGCTTAGGTCAACCCAGCTCTTGGTGTTGACCTGGGTCTGGAAGAAGCCCTCACTGTCTGGGAGTGAAATCTGGCCCAAGTCCTAGAACACCTAGAGCTGAGGCTCTTCACGTCTTGGGGTGACAGGAGCTCCTCTGAGGATTGAAGGAAGTGGCAGACGAAAGTGGGCATTTGTACACAAGTCCAAGAGGCTCCCAGCTCCCCCAGGCCTGGGAGACCCCCCCCACAAGAGCCCCCGATTCAGAGGGGGCTGATTTTTCTCCACCAGCCCCACCCGAGCCCCCAGCCCAGGACCTGTGCTGGGCCCAACTTGCCTCATGCCCTTCCTGCCCCTGCCAGGCCTGGGGAACTCTGGGGGTGGGGTGCGGGCACAGGCCTGGGTGGGCGACGAGGAGGACCGCCTGGTCTGTACTCACTAGCGCTCCGGGTGAAGCTTCCACTCATCTGCAACAAAGTTACTTTGCTACTTTCAGATGGCCCCTACCTTAGACAGCAAAGGCATTAAAGAACACAAAATATCAACATCACATCCAGGTGCGGAGCCCCTCAGCCAGCCTCCCACCACCCCTCCCCTGCCCTGGGGTGGCCATCACTACTTTGGGGACAGTGTCTCTGCTTACTGTCATGTCCGATGCGGTAGGGCAGAAAACTACCTTTGCACAAAACTATGTGGGAAGGGTCATGCCTGAGGACTGGCTGTGGTTCTGGGTGTGACAGAGAATAACTAAACCTGGGCTCAGGAACCTGGAGGAATGAAGTGTGAATGTCCCAGGCATGGGACAGTATGGGCCAACAGGGAGCTCGGTAGTCTCCCTCACGTGTTCCCAAGCAAGGCTCCAGCTATATGAAAGGGGCCTGTGACATCGGGAGTTAGAGTAGTGGATCCTGTAGGTGACGGATATAGGAGCAGAAGTCCAGGGGCCTCCAGGGACTGGCCATGTGCTATTGCTGGGTGGTGGCCACTCAGGCCAGTTAAAAAGGCACCCAGAGCAGCAGTGAGCAGGAGCCCGCTGCCAAGGGACTGCCGGGGGCTGCCGAGGGGCTGCACCACTGCTGCTTTTCAGAGCAACCACAGGGCAGTGCAGGATGGGCGCTCTCTATAGCTGATGTAGGGTTAGGGTTAAAGTTGTTTTTGCAGAGTATGTTATTTTTGTAATASAAAGCTAAACTGAGTGTACGCACCTGATGATTAAAACACATTTAAAAAATATCACATGCCCTCAGGGCCAGGCCCTGCCGACAGTGTGCGTAAAACCAGCCTGGCTGGTTTCCCAATTTTCTTTTAATGAGAGTGCTTAACTTCCACACTGGAAAGCTGCAAAAGCCCACTACAGGGAGCCAAGGATGCGGTCCCTGGATAGGCCCAGCACAGCAGCAAGTGGTCATGGCGGGACTAGAGGGCACAGGATGATCCCTGAGGACAGGCTGGCTCCCCAACATAATAAAAAGCTCAGCTTTTAAAGGTAGTTTGGCCCACATGTGATGCCATGGGCCACAGTGGCAAAAAGAAAAAGAAAAAAAGGTGCAAATGATTTTCTCATTGGCCATCCTCTGTTCCAGGGAGGGGTGGTGACAGTACAGAGGCTCCTGTGTGTGAGAGGTACAGGGTCTCCCTGGGCTCAGCAATACCTAGGAGGCTCCCAATCCTGACAGGGACCACCTGGGATGAGTGGGAGCCTGCAGATTCTCTGGCCAGGCCCAGCCGAGTCAGCGCTTCCAGGCCTGGCCTCTGTGACACAGGCTGAGGAGAGGCCAAGGCACTGGTTGGCTGGACACAGCAAGAGGCACTGGAGACACATGACTGTAAGATACAAACACAGTGTAACATGGACACTGCCAGGCTGTCCTGGGCTGACCAGTAGAGCGTGGGCATGGCAGTGGCCTCACTCACAGCAGGCCCATGCAGGAGACTCGGGGCCCCTGCTTACCAAGAAAGCCTGGCCCTCTAGCCTTCTCCCCAGGTTTGCCTACAACAGGTGGAGGTCTGGGCTTTTCAGAGCTTGCATTTAATCTCACACAAACCATCCTGACAAGCACTGGGCAGCATGAGTCTGGCCCCTAATGATCTCATCCAACCCCTCGTTTTGCATAAGGGAACRTCTGGGTCTCGGGGAAGTGACTACCCCAAGGTCAGGGGGCAAATGGGCTGGCAGGGGAGGCCTGGACCAGGGACAGAACTTTTTAAGGTCAAAGCCAGTACATAAAGCCAGGCCCTCCTGCCGGCACTGGAAGAAATGCCAGCCTGAAATTAACAAGTTATTTCCTCTGCCAACAAACACCTGGTTCACTGAAAAAATGGAACCAGGAAGTCCACCCATCCCAGCTCAGGATGACGTGTCTTGCCTCCAACTCTGCCTTCCCGTTGGGAAAGACTGAGTTCAGTGTTTGCAGCAAGCGTAGAAGGTGCAGAATACCATCCTGCCGCTGCAGCCTGCCTGGGCCCCTGGGAAGACGGCAGGGGAGGGTGCTGACTCGGGTCAGCATGAGAACACAAATCCCCACCCGCAGGGCAAAAACTGGTGAAGTTCCGGGAGGACATKGGTTTGCTTGGTTTCTGTCCTGGTGTCTGAGAACCGGAACTCCAGTTGATCCAGGCATGGGGCCCAGCTCAAGGGAGTGCCTGCCCCAGGCCCGTTCCCAGAGCAAGCCGCACATGGGATGTACCTTAGGTTTTTGGCCACAGACACTACACAGGTGAACACCAGCACTGGAAACAGTCCCTTAGTTCTGATTCAGTTTCTCAAGTATGAACATCACTGCTCTGTGAAGACCATGTTCACTGGAAAGCTGACAGGTTTGACTTCTCAGTATTTCTACATGTTCTCCCTCGACTCTTCTTTTGCAGTACTGGGGACTGAACCCAGGGCCACGTGCATGTTCTGGAAGCACTCCGTCACCGAGCTACAAACCGACTTCTTTTTTGGGGGGATGGGGGGATAGGGTCTTTCGAAGTTGCCGAGGCTGTCCTGGAACTCATGATCCTCCTGCCTCAGCCTCCCAGGTCATTAGGATCATAGGCTGGCTCCACTGCACCTCCTTCAACTTTTCCTTCAGGAAAATATCTGAATTCATTCTGAGTGAGAAGAAACCTGCCCTTCAGCAATCCCAGCTGGCCAAGCCCAAGAATGAACTTGGCCATGAACTCAACTTGTGGTCCAGCCCCTGCTGGGAAATGGAAGAAGAGCCCAGAAGGAAGTTGGCTAGGTGGGTGGGAAGCAGCTGCCCTCCCAGGTGTCTGGAGAACTTGCCTGCTATCTTCTTCTAAAGCCCCTGGGATGCCCTCAGATTCGTTCCTGAGGTTGTAACGCTGCAGCCTCTTTCCAACATCTGTGCCTCCATGAGGGCCTAAGAACCAAGAGTGACAGAGACTCACCTTGACGGTGTCAAATGGGTGTCCCACAAGCACGCCTGCCACACCTGGAAGAAGAAACGTGTACTTGTGAGCAAATGCCCCAGAACCTTGGGGATGGGGATCTGACAAGGAGAACTGGGCAGTAGCTGCTGGGAGGAAGGGGACACTGACGGTGTGCCCGTGGGGCTCCAAGCACACCCTGTGAGCTCCTGCCATCCTGTCTGGTGGCGTGTGTGGGGTGGGGTTCCCAAAGCCAAACCTGCATCTTCCAGCTGGAGGCTAGAGTCCCTTTCCTTGCCCCACACTGCAGTTGAGGGGTCTGGGCAGCGGACCAGAGCTGCCCTGAGGCTACCCACGGTGTTTCTAGGATGTCCACTGCCCTATACACCTCTGGCTTGGGCAGCTCACTCCAGGGATGCTGGAATTTGGGGTCAGCCTGTGACCCAGACTTGAACTTTCCCTCTGCTACTTAGCAGGCACATTCACCAAGGACTCAGTGTCTGGGCCTCACTCTCCTCACCTGAGCAGGTGATGAGCATCTGTCTCCCTGAGGGCCATCACAGAGATTAAATGATCAAACAGGGGGACAGGCCCCGGAACTGTCTGCAGTGAAGTAGGTGTAACTGACACCTCTGCTCTTTCCCTGAGTGGGAGCCACCTCAAGCCTAGGGAGGCATCTTGTGACTTTGTAGTCATGCTTGGTTACATATTAGTTCAGGGCCTGCCAAAAATTCAGCCCCGCTGGAAGGATGAAGTTCACCCCTCCATCACGGCTTAGAAACACTGCTCCAGTCCAAATCTCAACATGACTACCACAACAGCCTGGTTACCCCATTTCACAGGAGAAACTGAGGCTCGTCAAGGTCAAACAACTGATGTCAACTCTCACACTTCCCTAGAAYCTTGTGTGTAAACCTGTTAAGATTCTCCATTTGTGGGGCTGGGGATGTGGCTCAGCGGTAGAGCACTCGCCTAGCATGTGTAAGGCTCTGGGTTCAATCCTCAGCACCACATAAAAATAAATAAATAAAAGTATTGTGTCCGACTAAACTTAAAAAAAAAAACAAAACCCTGCAAGAAGCCCTGAGTTCCATCTGAGCACAACAAGGTGGGGTGGGGGAAGCATGTGCTTTGTTGCTAATAGTATATTTGTATCATTAAGAGTCAACACCAGGGGCTGGGGTTGTGGCTCAGCGGTACAGCGCTCACCTAGCACTTGCGAGGCCCTGGGTTCGATCCTCGGCACCACATATAAATAAATAAATAATAAAAGGATCTATATCAACAACTAAAAAAATTTTAAAAAAATAAACAAACATCTTTAAATAAATAAATAAGAGAGTTGACACTGGCCAGGCATGATGTCACATGCCTGTAATCCCAGCAACTCAGGCAGGAGGCAGGAAGACTGCAACTTAGTGAGACCCTGTCTCAAAATAATAAATAAAAAGGGCTGAGGATGTAGCTCAGTGGTAGAGCACCCCTGGGTTCAGTACTGCCAAAAAAGGGGCTAACATTTGCTAAGTAACAAACAGTAACATTCGATCTCCTAGTTACGCTTCTTAATATGTTCATATTCTAATTTTTCCACTCCCATTCCTGATAAAGGACAATTAAGCCATTTTATAGATGAATAATCTGAGGCACAGAGAATGTTCCTGGCACAGAGCGAGTGAGTGATGAACCAGAATTCAAACCTGGACCCTCTGGCCCTGGGGCCTCCTCCCCACTGCTGTCCTGCTGTCTCCAGAGAGCTGGCCATATATTGTTTTTTTTTGGTA